CTTCTTTCACATGTGCTTCAACTCAAAATAAAGAATGGACATACACATACAGACAAAGAAGTGTAGCTTCCGTCAGAGATGCCTCTTACAAAGTTATATTTACATTCCTATTTTGATGAAAAACTGCTGATATCTGTGTACATTACTTCAGCAAACACCAGTAGCTGGGAGCAGCTGCTCGACATTTAGGGAAAAGGCTTTGGCTGTGTGGGAGCAGCCTCTCATTTTTCATGACTTAAAAAAGGGCGTACCATGCGGTCACTGATTGCATAATGACCTTTCATGCTATTTTTTTTTTTTTTTTTGCTCATTGGGTAACCACACAATTAATTTATAGTGGTAATGCAGAGGGAAAATCAAGTGGATTTGATATAGTCCAAGACATTCGCATTAAAGATTGCATGAAAGTTGAAAGGTCACTATGCAATCAGTTACTGCATAGTCATAATCAAACTAAATATAAAGCCAGCTCCTTTGATTATTGTTCGTAAATCCCTTTGTCTTCTACATAAATATTCTTTATGATGTAAAGTTTGTCTGTTACTACACAGTCCAATGCTATTCGGGTGTCTTATCAAGTTTTGCTTCTCTTCACAGTAAAAAACGAGTTTGATTATGTCTTCGCTGAGAACGGACTAGTTGCATTTAAAGGCGAGGTCCAAATCGGCCAACAGGTGTGTGATTGTACGCCTTGTCTATGTCTTGCTGGTTTTAATTTGATTTCTTTTTGTTATTGTTATAAACGTGGTGTTGTTAATTTTTTGTTTATGTAAGTGTAAGCTTGTTTATATCTTATCTTGTACTCCTATCTTGTCGTGTGAAGTAACCCACAGTTAAATCTTCCTTATGTGGAAAATTTTTTTATTCTCTTTTGTTGGAGACTCTCTGTCTGAAAACAGTTTGATAAATCTTTTCTGTTGCAATTAGTTTTATTTTAAATTTATATTTTGGAAGAAATCCAAAGCTTCCTTTGTCTGGAAATTATCAGTGCTATATGGATTATTGTGGATTCATAATAGAATAATGACATGCCACTTTGGGTTTTCTGGGGTGTAAGCTTAAAGTTTTTCTATCATTATCGCTTGATGAATATGTGACTGATGTAGTGTCAGTGGTCTAGTGTTTTGGCTCAAGGACTCTCAACCACCAGGTTGTTGGATCGAATCCCGCCAGGGGCCCTGTGTTGTATTCTTGAGAATGACACTTTACATGAATTTTCCTCACTTCATTCAGGTATTAACAGATACCCAGCTATAGACAGTTTTTGCACATGTGATCTACATTAGGCACTGTATTGAGGGTGGTTAGCGGGTGCTTAGGTGTGGTTTGCTTCTTCTTTCCTATCAAATGTCTATCGTCTTTATCCCCCCTCTTTCTTTTTTGTGTTCGTTACTCTCTTGTAACACCTCTAATCTTCAGCATTTATATGACCTCATTGTGCTGCAAGTGCCGTAAAACACATACTAAAACTTGCGCTGTATTAACTCACTTGAGGTGCACATAATATATTGCAGCATATTCACATTGCACAGCATGCTCTACACGCTTTACAACTATCTTTACCCCATCAGAACTTAAAACACAAGACATTGCCATTTCAAAATATTGATAAAATAAAAACTATTCGGACAAATTGTACGGCTTTCTTTTTTTCTGTAAGAGCATTTCTTTCTTTCTTTTGTTGCATTTTTTACATTATGATAGTTTTGTACAGTCTTTTTGTGGTCAATGATTCAATATACCCCAAAACTGTCAGGCTGCAATGGTTGTTGGGGGAAAATAGCTCAGTCACAAGTGAGTTAATATTATGCTTTCAGGGAAGCCCAGAATGTTTCTGAGTTGTGCTCTAAGGTCTGATGGGGGGTAAAGTTAGTTGTAAAGCGTGTAGAGCATGCTGTACAATGTGAATATGCTGCTATATATTATGTGCACTATATAAATGGTCTCCTCCTCCTCCTCCCCCTCCCCCTCCCCCTCCTCCCCTTCCACCTCCTCCTCCTGAGTTAAATAAGACCAACTGCAACCATTATTCATTAAAGATAAGGAAGTGGAGTCTGTACCCTCCTTCATCTTGGAGTAACAATCGACAACAAGCTAGACTGGCATCCCCACGCTGCTCTTGTGCTTAAAAAATTAAATCAAAGAATGTCCATATTAAGTTTAAGGAAATGGCGAAGTTTTCATGTTGATAATAAGATTATGCCCCCTTTTTTTTACCATTCCTTGATCGAAAGTACTATTCTTTGATAGTAAGTGTGTTGCTGTTTAGTATTTGCTGCTTGGCTTGAACCTTAAGAGTGTGAGACAAAGAAAAATGTGGCCAAATGATAGAGAAAGCTAGCAAGATCTCTGGGTATGATTTTTTTTTAAACTGATGAAAATCACAAGTATAAAAAGATAAACAATATTATAAACAACCCATCACCCCCCCTTTCCACGCAGATTTTAAGATCACGCAGCGTAAAATACATACCATTATGAACAAAGAAAGATACAAAAGAAGTTTCCTGCAATCGGGAATGAGACTGCGGTCGATATAAGTATGTGTATTGTTGTTGATTTTTCAAATTACATAATATATTATTTCAATATTTCAATAAAACTATAACTCCGAGGGTCTGTGATAAATTCCTTCATGTGGTTGAAACATACATCTGATGTGAAATGTGTATTACTGTCAGATTAATTTTTCTCTTCATATTGAGTTTTTATGAAAGTAATATATAATTTAAATTCTATGTATATCTATTATTATTTTTATTAATTCTTTTGTCTTCATTGTTCATTTTTCATTTCCTCAGAATCTTAAAGCATTTGTTGGAGATGAACTTCTTCAGAAGTTGATTAATTTTGCTCTTGGATACATGTCAAAGTTGGTTCTACCATGCAAAAGGTATGGAACCTGTTCCTATTGCCTGCCTTTGTGTTATGTCTGATAGCCTATGGTGTAGACTAATTTTTTATGTTCTGACTTGTTCTTCTTGAAGCATTGTGTCCTTTGTCTTTACAAGGAGCATTGTCCTTCCGTGGGTTGGGGACAGTAAATAACCTACTGTTCCACCAGCAGGAGGTGCGACCTCTCCTATGGTGAAATGTCACCGATTACCATCTACACTCAGATGCGTATGGGCAACATTTACTTAGGTGTACTGTCTATCTTCTTTTTTCCTTATTCTTTCTTCCTTCCGCGAGCTGACCGGGGAATAGAATAAAAAGAGTCAGCTGTCTCATCAACAGGGGGTGTAACTCCCCCGCTGATGGATGCCACTCGTACGTCACTAGCTCTCTCTGACGTAAGGGTGGCATCTTCAACTGTCAGCACTTCGGACACACACAGCTACGCAGATCCCTGGAGTCCAAATTGTCGTCAGGGGTGTCACTCTGCATCTTCGACTGAGTGTCCGAAGTGGTGTCAGGAGAAAGCCGTCCTGACACTTAGGGCTCAGTCCGGCGGAACGTTCACTCAAGCAAGAGCAGGATATCCAACAGGAACGGCCCTGAAGAAAACGAAAACATTCTCCGAAATCCTAAAGACTGTCCCAGAGTCAGTAAACTCAACCCGAAAGGTCATTGAGACAAATAGACAAAACAAAACATCCCAAATATTTGCGACAAGAAACGATACTCCAGTCTTGAGACGGAGGAGCACATGGAGTCCTCTTCCTCCCTTCCTGCCTCTCTCACTCCCCATCCACCATCCCCCCACACCCCATCTTCATCTGCACCCTCTCAGCCATTTTCTTCATCTTCACCTCCATCATCATCTTCACCCCAATCATCGTCTTCTTCATTTCCATCGTCTCCAGCTTCATTTTCCTCATCTGGCCCACCTCATCCTCC